GAGTGTGAGCAGATGTTCCAGTGGAGCTGTAGGTCAGTGTGGCAGTAGAGCCGAGGGACGTTGCCGTAAAGACATGAGGGACACAGGGTTTGTGTTGAGGTGACTGAGGGAGACACACTGACTGATTTAATGTCTCGCTGACGCTCAGAGTTAAAACCACACAGCTCTGTCATGGCTCTAGGATGCTGTCTTGCACTCACATCCCAAGGTACTGTATAATTTACTGGGGCTTTAATTGAGCTGCATGTACCTCCCATTTCATTTTGCTCTGCATGCATAACTTGCCACCCCGACCACAGTGGTTAGACAAACATGTCTGCACTTTGTTTGAGCGTTGTAACAAGATGTAAGAGATGATGAGATGAAAGTGTTCTTCTCCTCAGCTTGCGTTGGAGGCACTGACTCAGTTGTTTTGCTTGGTTAGCTTAAGCTCTTGTTACAGAGTGTGAACACAAACCAACTGTAGGTAAGCCCTACATGCTATGACACCCAGTTGTTGCTGCATTGTCTGTTCAGTAGGAAAGTTCAGGGCCAAAACATCAGATTTTTGTTCCTTCTTAATGAAAAGAAACATATTTGTTGCATTTTTTGTGCAAACCTTCTTAAATTTACTCACATCAAATACACAGAGCTGACTGAGCACAATCCACGCTCACATGTCTTCCTGCTCGATGAAGCTCTGAGAAAAGTGTTTGTTATCTGAGTGTGACCTAATGATGGACATCTGCGGCTCTGTTTTCCCAGGCCATTGGCAAATTGTAGGTGTGTGAGAGTGTGAGTGTGGGTGTAAGGGGGTTGGCTAGGCTCCTGTCTGGGCCAATGCTGAGTAAATTACAAGGCAGAGGCAGTCTGAAGATGCAGGCTTTCATCCCCCCTTCTCCTGGCCTGCAGGCCTGCTGGCAGGGTGATAGCAGTGAGGTTATTGGAGGATGATCACGCTGCAGATCAAGAGGAGGAGGAGAGATTGATAGGCTGTGTCAGGGGGCAGATGATATACTGCTTGATTTCACCTTTCCGAGGAAGTTCACAAGATGATTCTTAGTTAAAACGGGTAAGGAAGAAGAAGGATAAAGACTATGTTAGAGGTTTTGTTAAAGGTCTTGTTTTTCTTCTCACCTGATGCCATGTGGCTCATTTGGCTCAGTGCCGCCATGTTGAAGATCACTCAGCCTGGATGTGAGAGAAACAGAAAACTGCCAAGAGGTCAATGGGATGACTGAAGGCTGATGTGTTTTCTTTGGCCCTGTTTGGGGTAACAGCTGACCACGGCTCTCCCATTAAAGGGTTTCCCCATATGGACCTCATGTCTCCATGAAAACCACAATAAAGGCCTCTCACGCACACTCTCTGAACTAAAAATCATAGATTTCACTGAGCAACGTGAAAGGAAGTACTGATGTGTCTTTAAGCTGGAGGAAGACAAAAACAGGGAAAGTTAAATGGAGTCAAACTCTGAGAGCACAGTCTGTGTCCTAGTTGTTGTTATTGTTGTCAAATGGGTTTTTAGTTTGCTGGAGACGCTGCGGGTGTCAACAGTTCATGTCTCAGCAGGGAGGCAGGGAGGGGAGAGGATGACAAACACGTCACTGGTTACTCACTTATCTCGCCACAGCTGACTGCAGGAATGCATCACAATTTGCCGTGCTGTTTCAAGTTGGAAATATTGTGTTGCATAGTTAATTGCTACACACATATGTGAATATGTGAAAGGATGTGAATCATATGCTATAGACACCAGATCTCATATATCTTTTGGAAGAATGGTGTTACAGACATGGAGAATGTACACAAAGATAATATATGTTAACAATATACAATATTAAAGTAATACCAGTAGTTTGACGTTTTGGGAAATGTGGTTATTCGCTTCCTTACCAAGAGTTCAATGACAAGATTGATACCACTGTCATTTATTTTTTTTGCCATAAATGCACCAGTTAGCCAAGAGGCTATTTTTCATCGTATTCCCTGCGCAGATGGAACAAAGTCAGAATATAAGATTGAATTTGGATCATTTATTAGCATGTGTAACAATAATAAAAAGGGAAAAAAATGTAATTCGCTTTCTTGCTTAGATTTAGATGAAGAGATTCTGTCTGGGAGCTAATTCTGCAGCTATAGCCAGGAGACTGATAGCTAAACTTAGCTTAGCGTAAAGACTGGAAGCAGGGGGAAACAGTTAGCTTGGCTCTGTCCAGAATTATGCCTGCTAACACCTCAAAAATGTCTTCTTACTTTATGTAACTCTACCTAAAACAAACATTATAATAACAAATAGATAAATCTTGAAATATTTTTGAAAAAGTTAAAGCAACAACAAGGAACTTTCATTTTGTGTTGATTCTGGCGGCCCCTGTGGTCAAAAGCGGTAGTGTTTCTACAACTTAGTTTCATTGATTTCAAGGGGAATCTGACAGAATCCGACAGGGTGACGGGCATTAGGAATAACCAAATAGAAATAGCCAGTCTTCTTGCTGATGGTCTTTGTTTGCGTAGCTCATTTAGAGGCATCAGTATTACATTGAGTCTGTTTCATAACCAGTTAAAAAAACCTTGTAGTACATTTAATGATGATATGATCATATAATTACAAATCGATTCCACAGAAAATCAATAAACATGAAGATGGAATTGTTGCCCAGCCCTATTAAGAACCCCGGCTGTAGTAAAACAGTTTCATTATGAAGCAGCCAGGAAAGCAGCGCTGCTACACACATAGATCTACTCTGAGGAGTTCACCTCCAGCATCTACAGCTGAGCAGCAGACAGAACACAGAGCTTGTTTTCAGGTCAACAGGGTCACCACAGAGGGCTTTTAGATCACTCTGGGGTGTTTTATGGAAAACCTCAAGTTGTCTCTGGGTAACAGACAAACACGCTGCCTCTCCTGGGGATTGCATGCATGGCACCATGCTTCTTGAAAAGGACTTGTCAGAGAATTCACAGCCGTCGGGCTGCTAGAAAATCACTTTACCAATGGATCAGTGTGATAAGCAGCAGGCTGAGCTTCTGATGCTGCACTCAGTCTTCCTGACCTTTGGTAGCTGTGATCAGCAGTTGAACTACATCTTTTTTGAGTGAAACAGACCAAAGTTAGCTTCTGGCTGAACTACAAAGCAAACTTAGCAGCCAAAACTGCCTTCTAGCAGACCGCCAGGTCAAGGACAAGCCCAGAAATGTCCGCCAGGTAGGGGAAGACTGACAGATGTGTTTGTGTCTGGAGTTTGGAGTGTTAACCCTTTAGATTTTCTTTGGATTCTGCTTCACATGTGTAAGATGTTATCTCACGTCTCAGATTTTATGCTGTTTATTGTGTGACTATACTGTTATTGTATGCTGTCATTTCTATTTCTAAAAGCCGTTGGGTAAATCTGGTCTGATAAATGTGTGATGCTGTATTCCAGCAACGATTTTGACCTTGTTTGGTCTGCCTTGTTCCGAAAGTTATAAGAGACAAGAGTGCAAAGAGATTGTGTGTGTGAGAGAGAGAGAGGAGAGAGAGAGAGTGTGTGTTGAGAGGAGAGAGAGAGACAGACACAAAGGAAGAGATTCTTTTGTTTTTGGGGAGGGGGAGGTGTTTCACTTGTCGACAGGGACATGATTATTGATCATTCTTTACTTGTTTGTCTTTATTTATTGCAGACACACACCAATTGCTGTTTCAATCACTTCTCCTTACATTGCAAGCAGTCAACATCCAAACAAGCATTAGCAGAAACAACTGCATCGATTCGACCATTTCCCCCTCTCCAGCCCCTCCGTGTCTTATGCGTAATTTGAGAGTCTCCTCCTCAGTAACCTGAGGAGCTGTGAGGGGGGGCAGTGAGATTAGTCCAGGTACTGGTCAATGTTTCGAGGATGAAAGTCACAGTATCAGGTTGCATTAATACCTATTGTTTGGCTGCAGGTAATAGCATTGCATTAGTAAACAGGCTATTGTCCTGCTTACATCGGCTCTGGTTATCCTGCTTTTGGCTCTCAGGCTGCGGCTCTAATGTGAGGCTGCTATTTCATGTCCACATTTTAAAGCTCAGCCGCTCTCATGGCACGTTGTCGCTGTAATGGAAAGCTCATTAGCTACGTTTGTCTGAGACTGTGGAGTTCACCTTAATGATCGTAGCCAGTGTATCGCCACAAAAATGCCAGAGTGGAAATTTAAAGGCTTCCTAAGCAGAACCCGTGGCGCTCAGCAGGCTGCCCTTTGTGATGAAAGACACTTTTACTTTTCCATTACATCTGTTGGCATGCACCGTATTTGCAGTTGATCCAGTGAGATGTGCTGTACCTCATTTATCAGGCAAGATGTTAAAGACTGAGAATGCTTTCCCTGGCTGAACAGAAGCTCATTATATTAGCAACAAGCCTCAAGCCATCATAATAATAATATACATTTTATTTATAATGCCCTTTTCAATCAGAAGATCTCCAAAGTGCTTAAAATGCAGTATCCTGAGTTTAAATATGGCTGTAAAAAGTAGGCGTGTGAGAAATTATCGATATATTTTTAATTTTGTGATATTGTGTTCATTCTCAAAACACTGTATATGATTTGTGTCCATAGATTGTATGGACGGTGATAAATACCCAAATGCAGATCCCACTGTTCCGACTGTATATGAAAAAGTACTCAGATTTTATGCATATGGTACAATTTTTCTAAATTTTTATTTTTAACTAAAATCACAAATATATCCGCCTTGCTTACAGTATCTCAATATTTTGCTGCTCTAATTATTGAACCGTAACCCCTCTATCCTGATATGTATTGTATTGCTAGATTCTTGCCAATAATAGATTCTAGCCCTAGTAAAAAGATGTTTTTGGTAGTTAACAGTTGTCACTAAAGATTTAAAAGAAAATAAATTAGGGTTCAAATGTAAATACTCTCCTGGATGTTGATGAGTCGTATTGCAGCAACCCTGTGTATGTTGTCACTGTTTTTGTGTTGTTTGTAACCAGAATTCAGTCCAATAACTTCCGTCCGTCTCTCTCTCTGACAGCGGTGTCTAACCTGGATGTGGAGAGTAAGCTGACAGCACATTACCAAGCTCCCTGGCACCAGCAGAGGAACGTTTTCCACCCCTCCACACGGCCAGCATGTGTAGAAGAGCTCCACAGGCAAGCCAACCTCAGCCTGTGGGCCCTGCACCAAGGTGAGGCCCCTCTGACACTCAGTGAGACCACAACGCAGAAGTAAAGCCAAGCAGCTGCCACAAAGTTGGCTTTCATTCCCTCTCTGTCCTCCCTAATTCATGTGCTCTACACTTTTATTTGACATGTCATTAAAAAACATTTTTTGGGTGTTTTACCTATTTTATCTGAAAAGTCCCCTCTAGGATACCTGTTTCCCACCACAAAGACCTGCATCTTGGTCTTAGTACCCTGTAACATTGTCATTCTGGGGTTGTTCTGCCCTCTAGTGGAAATAATTTGTAACTACATCCTGTTTGCAAGAGCAGTAGAGGATAGTATATAAGCCATTAGATGACATAATCTGTGAAGGAGACAGGGTTGAACACAATAATATTCTAACCAATCCTGTTATTGTGGAGCTCATAATGTTTTTATTGTATTGTTCCTGTGTCACACAAGAGTTCTTTATTATCTGGTAGCTATTTAGGTTTGTGTGGTTGCTGTTGATTGCTTTGTATGGGAATTCTTTTGTCAATCCCCATGAGTGGACAAATTAACAGGAACACTTATTGCAAGCCACTATAATGCTGCTAACTAAGTTGAATCATAATAATCTCCACAAAGGCAGTATTCATTGTGGGCCCATTGTTTTTACTGCTTTGTATTTCACTGTGTCCACCCTCTTTATTTATACGCTGGGTTTCCTTGTTCCTCCAGTCTGTGGTTGAAGGATTTTTCAACTCTGTCTCTGTAATTGTTCCTCTTGTCCGTGTTGGCCGTGAAGCAATCCCTCACTAAAGTAAAGTGATGGGTGATGAAATCCACAGTCCTTGTGGTCCTTCTAAGTTAATGTGAGTTTGCATTATACAAATCAAGTTTGTATCTTTCAAACTCACAGGTTTTTTTTTAGACAAAAATTGGAATGATGTTGGAAAAGGATCTCCTCACAGCCAGTATGAACAGGAGAAACAATGTCAGCCACCTATAAGTCTGTCAGTGTACCTATGGGCATGTGGGTATTGCTTTAGGAAAGATTTGTAGACCTGTCCTTTAAGAAGATGCTGCAAACGTTCCATCCTTTGCCCTTTAAATCAGATTTTTATTTATTCTTGTTGCAGACCAGCAGCGGAGACGATCAGGCAACAGGGAGCGGAGAGTAACCATCGTGATCTCGGCGGTGCCCCCGATGCCCATGTACCCCTCCCCACACATCGTCCAGGGGCAAGACAAGAGAGGCATAAATCTGACATCGGTGAGTCGACTGATGTTATACTCTCTTTAGAGCCTAGCAGCGTTTCTTCTTGCACATGTTGTACATTTAAATCTGACTTTTAGGAAGTAAGGACCCAGTCGATACATTAAAAAGGTTGACAGGTGTGAATGATGTCAAACTCTGCACATACATCATTCTGCCCACTAAAGCAGAAGAAGAAAAACAAGAAGAAAAACATAAAGGACTTTAATCATCATTTTAATATATCAAATTATTTATCATAACATTTTGCATAGTTCGTCCTTTGATTATATCTTTATTTAGCCAATCAAGCATGAAAAAGAAAAGCGCTGAAAGTCATTCAGCACTTTTAATATTTCTTTTTTTAATGGTATTTGCAGTTTTGTTTTTCAAGTGTTGATTTCCTTTTTCATTTGATGGAGATGAATGATGTACTTGCTGTGCACAGATGTTTTTTGTATTTTTGAAGTGAGAAATGCACATTTTCTCCCTCCAAGCAGCCAGAGAGACTTGTTAGAGATGCAACAACTCAGTTAGCACAAACACAGGTAAAGAGGGAAGAGGAACGTGTTTTTAATGTGTTTCATATGGTCTGCAGAGCATGTTTGTTTCAGTTTCATTTGACAGTCCTGAATTTATATTTACGTCTCATCACCTCGAGAATAAATGTTGCATAAATCGTTCAGGAAAGTAGTTTTTATTTTTCAGCTCATCAACCTGCCGACTCAGTTTACCCCAGTGTTGTTGATACTCCAGCATCGTATTGTTGTGTTTTTGTCCATGTGTTTGTTTATGTTGAATATCTGTTCATTTCTGTCATTTGTGTTTTTTTTTGTCCTTTTATTGTTTTTGCCTTGCAATTCAGTTCGAATCCACCCGCTCCTCCTCCCCTACCGAATGTTGCCGCTTCTCTCCCTGGAGCAGAAAGGTAGTGGTCCCTCCGTCCATCCCTCCTGCCTCCCGTGTGCTCCTTCTAACACTTCATTTCACAACTCCTTACCTGTTTGTGTTTGTTTGACTCCCTCTAATTTACATAATGAATCTCTTTTGAAATGCATGCCCACTTAATGCAGCTCTTCTCCAGCAGCAGTATCACCCTTCTCCCGCATGCTTCTGTTGTGAAACTGAAGGAGAGCACCACTTTAGAGCTCTCATCCACGCTGACACGGCACACAGCTACGCGCTCAGACAGTTGTTGTTGGAGTTCACGTGAAGGGCCGAGCTCTGAGGGCGCAGTATGTGAGGAATGTGTGTGTGAGGGCCACAGTCACAGCCGCCCAGCAGCCAGGGTTTCTCTAATGATAGGGTCGACTTCTGGAAGCTTGCGCCTGTGATTACCCATGATCCCTCTGTGCTGCGGTCTCCTCGCTGCACCCATCCCTGAGAGAGCTGAAAGCCTCATGTTTGTCTCTCTATGTGCTGTTTTTTTTCACCAAATATATATCGTGCCCGATGCCCGCCGTGAGAAAGAAATGAGGCCGAGGACAGGGGCAAACACCAAACACTGCCACTCCTTTTTTTTTCTCTCATCCTGTACGTGTCCACTCTTCTTCCCTTTCTTTCACTCTTTCGTCTCGCTCATCCTTCCTCTCACTCACTCTAAAACACTCCTAAAACTGCCCTTCTGTTCCTAAAACAAATCAGCTGTAAATGCTTTTCTTTTGATTTCTTTCCCCTACTAGTTGGGAGAAGTTTCCAAGGAAACCGGTTTCTTTTGTGGCCGGGGTTTTGTCAGGGTCTCATTGGTCTGCTGGGAACAGAGAGCACAAAGGCTCCAGAGCTGGCTTTAAATGGGGGTGGGAGGTTTTCGGGGTTTCGGAGGTGGGAACCAGTTCAGCCCGAGAATCACTCCCAGTTTCACATGTGGCTTTCTGTAGGAATCTCAAGGTAAGAACTTAACAGCCTAAAGTCATTTAGCACGGAGGTATAAGTAACAGGGGATGTACAGTATTTAAGTCTGAAAGTCTTGAGGAGGCCCATGGATGTGGAGTTACAGAGGAGTCAGAGAGGGGAGGACGGTGCTGTGATTGATACTGAAGCTGCTGTTCAGAGGAATGCTGCCGCAAAGTATTTCCTCTCAAATATTTCCGGAGCCTCGTTATTATGCAGGAGAGGACTTTAGGTGCCACAGATTGTTGGATCATGAGCTAAGAGTTTCCAAAGCCGCCTGTTGTGACTGGAAATAACTGTTTACACGGTTTGTCACATTTCTGTCTTGTGCAGTAGCTGTTGAGTAAAGGAGACGTCTCTGTTTCTCAAAGCAGAATTAATTTTCATCCTGACATGTGCTGTAGTGTGTGCCAAACTTTTTATTGGTCTGACATTTTTGCAAGCTTGGATACAGTCAGATGGTCATATAACAATATTTCCTGATTTTAACATGTTTTATATTTCTCTTTTGTGCCTTTTTTGCATGAAACCTACTGATTCTTTGAATGTTTCTTATGCTTTCCATTCTCTTTCTCTAAAGCATGCTTTTTATTTCCATTACAACATGAAGCTCAGCTCCTGGAAGGCTTTTTGTATTGATTTACCTCTGACAGTAAGCAGTCTTTGCTGCAGTTTAATACAACACAAATCTCTGCATCTAGCCTTCAGCTCTATCTCAGATAAACTCTTTGACAATACCAGTGTAACCCCTGACTTCAATGTACACATTCCCCTTCCCGAAACTGAGTTTGAGCATTTTTAACTCTGCCGTACCATTTCTCATGTAATGCCACCTAACCTTAACAACCTAACCATGCAAATATCCATCTGTTGCAGGCTGCGCCCTCTGACCCCGACACTGACGGGGTGGCTCTAGGTCACCGGTCTAAGTTTCCCATCCCTAATATCCCCTCCACCCTGGACAAGCAGACTAACTGGTCTAAAGCCCTGCCGCTGCCCACCCCAGAGGAAAGAATGAAAAACAGTTCCCAAGTCATCAACTCATGTGTCATCCCCATTAACGTGACTGGTAAATTTAAAGCTTTCACCGTTTTATGTCGGACTCTGTTTATTGTGACAGGACTCAGCTGTGGTGTAGATTTCTTAAACGTCTTTGTCAGGAGAGATGCTAGCTTTCTTTAGCTCCTCTGTAGCTCTTAGCTAAAGGAATAGTTTGACATTTTGGGTAATACACTTATTTACTCTCTTGCTTACAGTTAGATGAGAACATTGATACCACTCTTACGTCTGTCTGTCTCTATAAGGCTACAGTCAGGAGACGGTTAGCTTAGCATAAAGACTGGAAGCAGGGAGAAGCCTTGCTTTCTAAAGAACAAGCCCTTAAGAGGCCCTTTTAACTTGGCAATTAACACATTAAATTGTCTTTAATTTATTAATTCACAAAAACGTTTTCTTTTTTGTTTGTGTACAGATTTTAACAATGTAGAATTAGTGAACTTTAAAGGTGCTGTTAGGTGTATTTTTTAAGCTGATAGGTTAACATGTGTTTTGTACAGATTTAACAATATAGATATAATGTGTTAAGTAACAAGCCTTAGAAGTGCTTCTAGGTGTATATTTGAACATTTGACAGAGACAGGAAAGCTGTTAAGCTAAGCTAACGGTCACCTGGCCATAGCTTCATATTTAGCGCACAGACATGAGAGTATTATAAATCGAATCATCTAATTAATTGGCCATAAAGCAAATAGGTGTAAAATGTCATGGTATTCTTTTAACATTGACTCTTGTTGATTGAGCTAACAGTATAATCAATAATAAATGTCATTACTGCTGAGTTTTGGCACTCCTCATTAATGAGTTTACTTTCCCTGCAGTGCAAAAGTTACATTTGTAAGAAATCTGGAACTTGTGCAATTTATTATAAAACCTCATTATTACCAAAGGTGTTATTGTTGCCACAGACTATCACTCTCAATGTGCAAGTCATGCTTTGTACCCCGTTAACTTTCTTTCTCATGCTTCAACGCTTTGTGCATGTGATTGCGAGGCAAGATGCGCTGACATGAATGCTAATTAGTTCTGTCCAAATTGTTGAAAAGGCCTGCCCGATGTTATTTACTCTCGCTCACAGTGACTAAAAAGAAGAGTTGTATGCCAACACTGGCTGAGTCAGAGACAGTTGAGGGGAAAAATGCACATTGTAAGCAAAGTCCAGCAATTGCTATGGTTCTGAAAGGCCTGACCTGCTATCACATGATAGTCACAACGTATAGTGAGGGAGAGGCAGGAAAACAAGGAGGAAACACAACAAAACTGAAGCAGAAAGCAGAATTACTTTGGTTATTAAATCTGTCAACGTAATGACTTTATTGTTTGTGTCATATGACCTTTTTTGCCTGTTTTGTGGAAGGGTCAAATACGGTTTATCTCTTCACATTTCATCTAGTAGTAAATGACTTCGTACTGCAGGCACCCAGTTTTTCTCACTGTGGCTTTGAGCTCCATCAGATAACTGTCCTCTATTCCTGACTGCTATTTCTGTCGAATATCTAAATTAGTTCGGCAAGTTTTTTTTTTTTTTTTACGAGACAGCGTGAGAGTTAAAAGAGGAATTGCTGCAGTTGCCACTAAACAAAGATTCCTCAGATGTCCTGTCTCCGTTGCAGGGGTTGGCTTTGACAGAGATGCTAGTGTGCGCTGCTCGCTCGTCCACTCGCAGTCTGTGCTTCAGAGGAGGAGGAAGCTGAGGAGACGGAGGACTGTCGCCGGCGTTCCCAGACAGGTGCAGCAGGATTTAGGTATGTTACTCAGTGTGACTTGTGCTGATAAGACTAACCAGTCATAAATGTAGACATTAAATTCAAACTGCTGCTGTTAAAGTAGCGTAAATATGTTTTATATTTGCTGTAGTGTTTTACACATGGTGTCACTTAAACAAAAAGGGGTCAGTATTAAGGGTCTAAATCACATGTTATTGTGTTTTTTCATTGCGGGGACAATGGTGCAAATAGTAATACAAAGCAATTAAAGCATGCTCATATAAATCTGAAGCGTGTGATAGCAGGCATATTTTCAGTGATTTCAGAAGATATATTTGGGGCATTTCATGCTTTTATTAGCCAGACGACACTAGGGAGATGACATGAGGACACGGGTGAGAGAGAGAGACATGAAACTAAAGTTCTCAGTCGGACTTGAACCGGGGATGTTGGGATTCATGGTCAACATCTTCTGAAATACAGAAATATGAGCTCAGAACAGTGTGCTCATTTCAGTTTCAGTTTTAATCTATAGTTATCTCTGAATTTGTTATGTATGTACTTATATGTTCCTTCCTTCCCGCAGACTCTGATGATTCTCCTGGCTCCAGAGAGCGGACAGTGATAGTTCATGCCAGTCCCAATATCTCTCCCTCTAATGAGGAACTGGCCAGCCATCTCAGCACCAGAGACTCAGGTTGCCAAACAGAAGACTTTTTGATCTCAGGCGCGCCATCTCGGAGGAGGATCAGGGCCCAGAGAGGCCAGGGAGTCTCCCTCTCCCTTTCGCACTCTGCAGGCAACATCTTGTGCCTGCCGGACAGTGCTGACGCCATGTTTACCACCTCTTTGGGCGCACGTCTGCGCTCCCGGAGTCTGCCCCGAGACGGCAACCGGATGATAGACAACGGGCATAATGACAGCGACGATGAGGAGGAAGAGCTTTCCCCGTTTGACGCTGAGGACTTCCTGCCAGGCCCCGGGGAGTTAATTCTGAAGGATGAAGAAGAGAGCATGGATGACCAGGCCATGTCTGAGCACCAGCTGGGCCTGAAATACAAGCAGCTCTCAGAGAGTCCAGAGCGCAGCTGGATGGAGAGGACCAGATCTCAGCTTCCCAGGAAGGCCGACATGGGCAGCTGTGAGATCTCATCCAGTTCAGACACCTTCAGTAGCCCTGTCCACTCTGTCTCAGTCGCAGGGGTTCTGGGAGGCCAGATGGACCATAAAGACGACCACCAGTCCTCAAGTGGGAACTGGAGCGGGAGCAGCTCCACGTGCCCCTCTCAGACCTCAGAAACTATCCCCCCAGCAGCCTCTCCGCCACTGACGGGCTCCTCGCACTGTGACTCTGAGCTCTCCCTAAACACTGCCACTCACACAAACGATGACCAGACCAGCTTCATGCTGGACCACTACCAGGGCCTCAGGACCCAGCGGGCAGGCTCCTTCTCCTCCACAGCTATGGACATATTAGAGGAAGCAGGGATCAGCACTCCCATCGAGGGGGAGTGGAGTTACCCCCACCCGGACCCTCCGCGCTCACAGGACTTCAGCCCTGAGCCGAGCAGAGAGGCCGAGAGCAGCCTCGGATGCCCCAGCTACACCAGCATGGCCACCTGTGAGAGCAGCTACTCTGACAAACCGCCGTCGGAGAAAGCTGACACTGTCTCTCACTACTCTGTAGACACTGAAGGCTACTACACCTCCATGCACTTTGACTGTGGCCTAAAAGGCAGCAAAAGCTTCACTTATAACTATGCAGCTCCCGGCTCTGATTGTAGCCTGTCTGACTTAAGCAGTCACATGACTCTGGGGAGACGCTGCCTCTCTTTAAGAAAACCAAAGGTGAAGCCGTCTCCGCCTAAGAGGAGTTCATCCTTGAGAAAAATATGCAGTGAGGGAAACATCCCTGACAAGAAAGAACCAAAGATTACCTGCGGGCAGCAACTTCCACTGTCTTCCAAGGAGAGGAAACTGCAGCTGGTTTTGTCTGGCTCTCCAGGTCATTTAGAAAACTCGTCACTAGTCAGAGAGCCCCTTGTGGTCTGGGGCGTTGAGGGCTCAGCCGATCTACCTGACCTAGGCGTGTTTAGCTCAACGGATGCACATTCATTTAAGGATGAGGGGGTTGTGCAGTCTGACTATGCAGATCTGTGGCTCCTGAATGATTTAAAATCCAGCGATCCTTACCGATCTTTGTCAAACTCCAGTACAGCGACAGGCACAACTGTTATCGAATGCATCAAGTCACAGGAGAGCTCTGAGTCTCAGACATCCCAGTCTGGCTCCAGAGCCACCACCCCCTCACTTCCATCAGTGGAGGGAGACTTCAAGCTAACGTCTCCAGAGAAGCTGGCGGGCCTGGCCAGCCCATCCAGCGGCTACTCCAGTCAGTCAGAAACCCCCACCTCCTCATTCCCCTCTGCCTTCTTTCCTGGACCGCTGTCACCGTCCAGCGGCAAGAGGAAGCCCAAAGTCCCGGAGAGGAAGTCGTCTCTTTCGTCGCTGTCACTGCAGTCGCTCTCCTGCAGGGATGGAGCCACCTCGAAGAGAGACCTGGAGCTGCCGATAATCCCTCCCTCACACCTCGACTTAAGTGCCCTTCATGGTGTCGGCAACAAGGCTACGGCTTACAGGACCCAGATTCAAGTCCTTCATCAGAACAAACAAAAAGCTGCAGTGGCAGCCAAACCTGTAGCGCCGCCTAACCCAGAGGTGTTTAACGCCCATCCCATGTCCATCACACCCACAGTGCTGCACTCAGTACAGCTCCGGTCCATCAGTAAGGATCGTGAAGGAAAACATGAGGAGAGAACAACTTCCAGACTCAAATGTCCCACTCTAAATTTAACTAGCACACTCCCCAGTTGTAAATCCTTAGAGCTTAAGAGTCCCCCGTTATACAACTCACATTCACATCACACATCCTCGAAGGGGTCGTGTGAATCAATGTTTACCTCAACTGAAGGGTTTGCAGATGGAGAAGCAGCATGTCGGAGTGAGACGAGGAACAGGCAAGAGGCTCCTTTAGAGAGCATGACAGCATTCAGACTGCAGTCAGAGCCGTCATTGGACATCCCCAAGAGTACCACTAGCCATGAAGGAGAGACGTGCAGAGAGTCAGTAGAAACACCTGTCTACTCTGGAGACTGCAGCTCGCAGTCGGAGCCTTCACAGCAGCTAAGAACCGAGCCGTCTGAAGAGGAAGAACCGTGCGCTCTCTCTGTTCTGCAAAGTTCACCCAAGAGATCCAACAGTCTTGATAAAGTGCCTGCTACTGACGGCCAATCAGAGGCATTGCAAGGGAGTTCAATCAGTAATGAAGGTAGCACAGAAGTGGAATATGAGTCATCAGGTGTTTCAGCCGAAAGTGCCTCTCAGGACGGCAAGGAGGAGTTCACCGCAGAGACAGAGGATTACTTCAGTAAAGGTAGATTGTCTGTCTTCATCAGTGGTGCATGTTACATTTGTCATGAATCATACAGCAGGGGATCCACCTGGGGTCTGCGGGTCAAATGGTAAATCTGAGGGGTCACAAGATGATTAACAGGATAGGCAAAGATAAAAAAAAAACATATTTCTGCAACACAGTATTGTATATTTTTCTGAAACTGCTGTATTTCTGACCTTTCCTGCTTTGAGGACATGCTTTCTGTGTTTTATATCATTTTAAATTAAAGTCTTTGGACTGTGTGTCGGAAAAAACTAAACAAAAAGATGCAAGTTTGAGCTCCTGGAACTTGTTGATCCATAATGAAAATAATCATTAGTCATCATCAGTTCATTTTAAGGATAGTTAGGAACATACAGTGTATGCACTATATTCAAATGTTGACTGGTTTCTGTTAACAGACTCTACACCCAGTGATAATGCAGTGTCCCCTCTGAGTGATGAGTCGAGGCCGGAGGATGACCGTGTGTTCCTGTCGCCCACCAAAACTCGGACCACTGAGGATCTGTTTGCAATGATACACAGGTAAGCAGTGTGAATAGTGGCCCCTTTGTGTAGGCTTCGTGTTTACAGAGGTTACAAGTAGCTAACTGTATTTCTTCATGTTCAGGTCCAAAAGGAAAGTGTTGGGCAGGAAGGATTCCACTGAGTTGGGTGGGAGGAACCGCCTCAGCGCTGCATCAGGGAACACACCACCCAGCAGCACTGTGAGTTCCCCAGTGTCGCTGGTGTCACCCTCCTCTGCCATGACCCCCCCAAGGGTCACCGGGCCCATATACAGAAACGCAAAGAAGTCCAGCACCTCCAACGAGGAGTTCAAACTGCTGCTGCTCAAAAAGGGCAGCCGCTCGGACTCAAGTTACCGCATGTCTGCTACGGAGATCCTCAAGAGCCCCATCACCCCTAAATCTCCTGGAGACTCCCTGACCGAGTCGCCCAGACAGCCCGAAGAGCCCGCCTCCCCACTGCAACAACAGCAGCATCCATCAGGACCAGATCAGCTCTCCAGCCCGTACCCCAGAGCCAACGCTGAGGGCTTCTCCCCAAAATCCTTCCCCACATCTGCTTCTTCGAGGCAGGGCCGCTCCAGAATCCCCCCGCCTGCCAACAGCAGCCGCTACGGCATGCGCGGCAGACTGTTCTCGGCGCCCATGCAGGCGATCTCTGAGGGCGAGACAGAGAACTCAGACGGAAGCCCTCATGACGACCGCTCATCACAGGGCTCCACGTAGAAAGAAAAAAGTACATGTGTCAAAACGTATGAAATTATTTTGTTAGTTTACAGTAAGAACACATGGACCAGAGTGAGTTTTAATATATATGAGATGTGGCGAGGACAGTAGTATTGATGAAGTTAATGTGGTATTCAGAAACCATTTTGTTAATAATCATAAATTTAAGTTTCATATCTGTTTACTTTTGGTTAGTATTCTGTGGATACAATTTTACATGTGTTCAGAAATGTTTTATACATACAGTATGTCTAAGAAATATCCTTATGATACAGACACTTAGAAAACAGGAGACCAGATTATTTAGCATTCTGTAGAAACATATGACTGATTAATAAAAATGATGAGCAGGACATTATTCCGGTTCAGTTTCACAGAAACAAACAGGCTGACGTGGTTCTAAAATAAAAAAATAAATCATTATTAGGTTAGTACCTAAAGCCATGTACCTTCCTTCAGCCCTATTACAGTATATTAATGATAAATCTTAACTGTTCTGCTGTCAGATCTTTCTCTCAGTTAACAGTTTGTATCAGTATCTTGTAAAAGTAGAGAAATATATTGGATTAACTGTTTGTATTCTGTGAATACCTATGCAATTACACACAATTTTTTACATTTCTTCAAGCCAGTTTTTCCAATCATTTTAATACCCCCCTCCCCAACTGAACATCAGGACTAACACTGTGTGAGAAGCAGCAGTGGGAAAAAAAATGTGAAGCCTCAATGCATCGATTCATATTGATGTGTTTGTATATTTTACTCAGTCTTTTTAAAAGCATATTGTAAATTATGTCAAAGAAAGCTTACTATCACAACATTTTAAAATTCTCATGCAATAAGACGAGTAACTAGAGGCGAGATGGGAAATGTCAAAGCCAAGCACTAACTTGACAATCTTAGGAGACAAGACGGGAGCAGGTGTTAACATGGGAGAAGAAAAAGTGATCAAAAAGTTGGAGGTAGTGAAATAGGAGAGCTGTAAAAGAATGAGGAGGTCGTATGTTTTTAAAAAAAAAACGTAATAATGGTAATTTCTGGTTTGCTGACTTGGCGTGTTTACGAATTGTTGAAAGGGGCAAGTGGAAAGTGTTCAGGAGGATCTAATATGCCTTATTTTGCTCATCAAGAGAGACAATAAGTGACAAAGCAGCTTGGGCCTCAGCAAGTTGAGTGTTTTTGTGAGATTTTTCAATTTTTGATGGAGGATGTAAAGTTAAATTTGGAGCCAGGTTATCTTCTGTGAGAACAAGTTCTGGATTTGGGGAGGTGGCATTTGCTGCTGTTTTGTACCAAATGCTCCTCTATTTTATTCCCCATCAAAATCTAACCTGCCCATGGTTTCATATTTTCTGTGTCACAGCAATTTAAATATATTTATTTTTATAACTGACACACAAAATCTCTGTACGCTCCCCTATTTGGTTTACATCTTTAGATAACTTAAAACTGAAACCTTTGGATGGAAGTATGCAATGAATTGCTGGTATTATTAATAACATATTTTATTAGATTACTTATTTTGTTTATAAGAGACACATTTTAAATCTTATTTCAGACACTGGTTGCAGAGACAAATAGGAAAGCAACTCATTACTGTCATTGAAAGATGGCACGAACAGTCATAAGCTACAAGTAAGGTTTTAGTTGTAACCCTGTCACACATATTCACAATAATGTTATAAGTACAAGGTGTTTATTGCAGTGATGGTACTCAACCATTATGCAAAAATGACTAAAAGTCAATGTAGTCATATTGCCCTACATTTGGAAGACTGTTCTTCTATATAGGTACACTGTAAATATCAACAAAATTTTGGCCTTAATGATCCTCCATACTAATGAAATGTCATATAACAGGGTACATAATGGGTTATGTCTGTGAACCTTCATTCCAACCTTTTTATTTTTCATTCTTTTTGTTTTTTTGCACTGATAAAGTGATGTTTGTGAAGTTTCATTTGTCTCTTGCTGTACCTGGAGATATTTATAGACTTTTACATGGAGCTGTTTCCTTGAATAATATTCACACTCTGAGTACTCTTTAGGAGTGGAGTAGATGCTTCTGCCAAAGGCTAGAAACATGCACGTTAGTGGCATCAAACTGTTTTTCTCTTCTCGTTTACTTGACTGAGACGCTCTTGAAAAACATAAAACCGATACTAAAGAAGAATTACAGCGTAACTTATGGTACTAGACTCATTTTACTTCAGATCAACCTCTATATACTGTAGGTATCAGCTTTGTATTTTTTTGTACAAACTTGTAAATACAATAACTTTTGGAATTGTCACAAAGGTTGTTGAATTGTTTCTTATGTAAAAAAAATGTTTTCAAAGTTTACATTAATTTCAAACCTTTGTATATTTTTGAGCTGTGGAACACTTTGTCTTGTATTTATTTTTTAGTAAGCATTGTGGAAATCCCATAGTAAATCCTATCAAAGCCAAGTGCTAGCACAACAGGCTGCTTAGCAAATGTGTATAAAAGACAAATAAATGTGACTGCTTGGAAAATGGTTCTCTGGGTCAATGGTGAAGTTAATTATTGCTACTTATTTTACTTATTTTAAAGGTGCCATAAAGTATAGAAATATATGAGGACAACATGTTACGATTTACTGTAACAGAAGATACGACATGTGTCTGTCTGTATGTTATTATATAAAATATAAAATATTATATCACTTACAGGGGCCACTGCATGCTTTTAGTATTGGTACCTACATTTAAAGTACATTTTGCAGAAAATACTTAGGTACTGAAGGAACCTGTGTATATTGGTTCATATGGATTTTTGTCTTGTGTTCACATGAGGTTGCAACACTTTTAGAGTTGATGTGTTTTACAGGACTGCAGTGTCAGATTTGTCTTCAAAAGATGGCGCCATATCGTACAACAAAATAAGATCTTAGGAATCTGGCTTTGGTCTCACAGTACCATCCTGTGAATTAGGAAAAGATCATATAAATCAAATGTATTAATATTCTGTGCATGCGCAACTGGAGAAGTTGTAAATTCAAACTTAAAAAACACCAAAACATCCATTAAAATCCAAACTATATTTTTCTTTTACACTGTAAGCCAAATTCATAGTATTTATATGATATGATGTTACACTGGTATGATATATATTTATGTGTTTTGCTGTTTCTTAACTAGAAATAAACATCTTTGAGGTTTTAGGCAATATTCTGAATCACTGTTAATGTCACAGCAGCCACTGATTTAAATGAACACTAGATGGAGTTCTTTGGCTGAATACACAGGAGAAATCTTGCTGGGTAATTTAATGCAAATTGAGTGAAAATTTAAATTAGGCCTCTTTGTGTCCTGACCAGAAAAAAAAAACACAGCTGAGACTATAAAAAAATCTTAAGTCTGAACAGGTTCCCCTCTGCACAACAGGCTGTAGTTATTAACGTGTCATTTCTGCATGTGCTATGTCACTTTCATGGTTGTGCTCCAGCTCCAAAGTCGGTGTGAATTCTCTTTGTTGCTCTGGCTAATGTCAGACGGGCCTGTGACGGACAAAAACTCCTTGTTCTCAGTCGGTGGATGTCAACTGAGCTCAGATTGTAAGAGAAAAAGAAAAAAAAAGGTAAACAAAGCCTGGGACTGTTTGGCACCCCAAGTGGGTACTCATCAAAGGGCACGCTGACCGTGAACCCTAACCTCAATTAACATTGGAGACAGGATGCTTTGGCATGAGTGGTAGGTAGTGAAGAAATCAAGTGTTTCCATTCCCAAGAGAAATATATGGGCTGCATCACAATGTGTGCAATGTGCCCAGATGGAGAATAAAATGGAAATATTTAGATTTCAGTTGTGGAGCACCTAACCATGAGGGATCATCCTAAAGCTTTGATGGTGGTTGACTACAGAGATGTCTCTCTTTCAGTGTTTGTGTTGTACCGCAGCCTTTGTGTCATTATTTGCCCTCCAGCTGTACAGACAGTACAGTAGATATTGTATATATAAGTATGAAGAACATGGACAAAGGACAAGTAAAGAACACACACAACCTCTCAGCACTCACTGCAGATGTAAGGGACTGAAAATGATAAGAAAAGGGTGAGCAGGAGAGGTTTTCTATTTCATATCATGTTTCTATTTTAATTTGGCCTTTTGAGATGTGTCATATGAACAAAGAAATCAAATGGTTGAAGATCCAGTCTGTGTAACATTTAGGAGGATCTATCGGGAGAAATTGAATGTAATATTCATAGATATGTCTTCCTTTGTGTATAATGGCCTGAAAATAAGAAACACTGTGTTTTTCGTTACCTTTGAATGAGCCGTTTTTATCTACAGAGGGTCCTCTTCTGCGCCGTCTGCCATGTTGAACCGCCATGTTCCTACGGTAGCCCAGAACAGAAGAACCAAACACTGGCTCTAGATAAGGCCTTTTGCAGCCACTATAGTTTCTCCTACACGCTAGGAAGGTGAATTTGCAACTTCATGACTAGATATCACTATCACTGGTCCTGTAAAACAATGAGGAGGCTTTCATGTGCAGCCTGAGTTATAAACAAGGTCAACTCGCGTCTCTGTAAAGGTGTATTCAGACAGAAAGCTGTTGACAAATTTTGCCTCATATCATTTGTGCAAATTTGTGTTTATTCCTCCCATTTCTGTTCTTCTTCCCCTTGTCTCTGAAAGTTTATTAAGCAAATTTATAAAGCACTGGGATTAGAATTTTTTTCACTAAAGCTGAAACATTTGCAACTTGTATGGACACATCTTCAATTCAAGTCTTGCCATCTTGTTCTGTTTGAACACACAGTAAAAAGGCTTTGTTTTACACACGTTTTCAACGTTGTATTGAGAAACGCAGCACATGTGGAGCTAATTAATGATTACTGAGAGAGCATCTCGCAAAAAGTGCTTAATTTCTCACCTGACCTACACAGTGATTCCTTTATTTTGCATCATAACAGGAAGACAAACTGTACAGAAATTTAATGTTTCATATAAACTTACCTCATAAAGTACACCCATAAAGGTGCTGCCTGTCACTGGTTTGCACATTTTGTGGTTATAAAAACAGTTTATTTACCAGCTCTTTAGTCAAAAACAGAGGGGCGGTATTTTCACCATTTTCTTCCATATTTGGATTTCTACATTTAGTTGTCTAGTATTTTTTCAGCATAAATGTACCCTAAACAGTCTGATCATCCACACTAATAATCGTTGTTTTAGATTTGATTATGAAGTATTGATTGCATGGAGATCCATCAGAACCGCACCATAAGTGCTGATCTGAGCTGTATTTCCTTCCATGTGAGTCATACTGACTGTAGGCAGGGTGGGGGGAGGAACACTGAGGAGGTAACCACACCAAAGTCTCCACCAGGCCACCAGGGTGTATTGTGAGGCTCATTATAGTGCATTAAACAGACTCCCTGCGGAACAATGAGAGGCCCCGGGGCCCTAAGGCAGAGCCTGAGGCTGGCTGGGACTGATATGAAGACCCAGGGGACCCTGCTCACCCGGGCCTGTCGCTACCAGACTTTCATCCACAGCTGCCAAACTCCATTCTCCTCAGCTTCTGTCATCAGCCACTCACCAGGCTCAGACCGTCTGGAGGACTGTTTAAAATAAACAAATTAAATATATTCTTATATTGCTTCTAAATTGTACCGACATGAGCTAACAGAGTGTAGCTTTCATGACCCAATCATACAAGGTAATGTATCTCTGTGCATTTATACAATCTCATTTTCCTCATATACATTTTATTTATGATTGAGTCATCCCACTCTCTCACTTCCTCAGTCGAGGTTTCTGGTCATTTTTAGTGGTTATGATCAGGATTAGTTCATGTGAGGTTCTGGTGGTATTCATATCTTTATTTATGCCAAATTACAACCACAGGGTCCACAGGGTCCACACCAGACTTATACAGATTATAGGGATCTGTAATTTGGTACTAATTGAAGGGGAAATATGGAGGTCCTTGAAAACAAATCTATCTCCATTTAAACTCAAATAAATATAAATAAATGATTCATTTATTATTGGAAACTTTCTTCTCCATATATTGTAATTAGTTGATTATATGATTATATCCATGCCTGTAGACAAATGTCCCAAATTATCCACTAATTCAGTTAGTCATTCAATTCAAGAAAAAAAGGAGAGATTTAAGGAAAGTGAACAGAAGTTTGTGTAGTAGAAAGATGTTTTTTCCTGCTCTCCTTTCCTGGTAATAATCGATCATTCCCTTTAAGTTGCGACCCCTTGTGGGGGTCCCAACCACATTTGGGATCCATTGCCGTGGAAATGGATTTCACTAACTGGAAATGTAGACTTCCAATTAAATGTTCTCGTTATTTCTCTCTAGTAAACGCCAAATTACATACTTTCTTTCAGGAAACTTCTATTTTTTAGAGAACGCAGACCTGTAAAATAGAGCGTCACCCGCACTGGCATTGACAGACATCAACACAATATTTTCTGCACTATATGGATTATTTTATTTCTTTTTTTAAGTTCATGTAGTCCTATCTATTTTTCAGCTTTTGATATATATATTCTTATTGTTAATATTAGGCCTACTTGCCTATTCTTTATTAATTTATTTCTTTTTTTCATCGCTCCCTGTGTAGAGGAGGAGGGAGGACCCGCTGACGCTGCTGCGTGCGCAGCTTCAGTCTGGAGTCGCTTCGACGGAACCGCAATGAAGAGATAAATAGAAGCCTTATCTATTTATTTTAAAGTCTCATTCATTGACCAGTGAGAGGGGGCAGCAGGCCTGGGAAACTGCTAATGCGCTCTTCTGCTTGGTAGGTGAGTAAATGTTGGTGTTTGTAGCAAGACTGGGATTTTGTACAAGAATTAGATTAAAGGCAAGGAGATGAAACAGGGTGAGCCAAGGCTTTTCTGATTTGAACGTCGCTTATTCGCTGAAACATTAATTCGTTTCAACATTAGCACGCAGATTAACTGGGAATTATTTAGCTAGTGGCACGGTCCCGGTTTTAAATCGCATTAAAGCCTTTTTTCCCATTTTAGAGACGATTTGCGCAGCTAGCTCGTGTCGAGAAACGCTCACTGTCTGTCAGCGCGAGCTCGTTTTTTAAATATTCGCCCGATGAACCGGAACTTCAGAAATAACACGTTGTGATTTAGCGCGAGGACCCCTCTGTCCGCGTTACATTACTGTCTTTATGGCAGCGGAGCGTCACGCGCCCTCAGCCCTTCATGTTATTGCCGTGTGATGTGCGGGGACGTGCGCACACTCGACGCACAGCCTCCTGCTCTTCATGGCGACCCGTCGGCTCACTGAGGGACCAGACACATCAGTGAGCGGGCTGCTAACGGGGATATTTGTCTGGGAGGACGTTCACGCTGTCTGTAGAGAAATAAAAATGTCACAACTGAATAAATAATGGAAATATCCTCAGTTGAACCGGCAGTGTCACACTCGGGGCCTGTTACAGCAGCCTGGGCTTTAACAGCCTGTGCATTTGCTATGAATGTCCTGTCACATGTGCCAATGGCAGAACTGGTGTAGGAAAATATCGGATTTTAACAATGGTACAGATAAAGCTGAGCTTCCCTCAGTAATGCTGGAATCCACATAGCAGGAAAACAATACATTACTTTAATTTCTGATGTTTCATGTTCAGGTTGTATCGAGAGGCATTGTGTATTTCTTACTATTATCTCTAAACGCATACTAAACATATGCATTATGCAGTGTGTCTTAGTCCACCTATTTGCTCAGAGGGCATTATAGTTCATACCCATAACAATACTTGCCCCCAGTGGTGCAAGCCTGTGGTATAAATGTGATATGGTTAAATGGTTACATATTGTCACCATTTTACCATCTGGAACAGTATTTGTCAAAGAGCAGCTGGATAAAACAGTGACTTATTGTTACACAGCGATCACAATGACCACTGTTCCAATTGAATTCATTAGAAGTGTTAAATTATTCAGCAAATTTGACTATTACTGTGGGATTTAGGAGATCAGCTGGGGCACAGCCAGCTGAATAAAAGAGAATCTGCACTGATGTGAAAGCAGCCGGCGTCAGTGCGAGGATGTGAGGCTCATGAATGAGGCTCCATGTGTCTCACTAATGAGGTGTAATTGGCTATTGGAGCGGAGGGGTGTCGAGGCCCGGTGACCTTTAGATCATCTGCGGCGCTCCATCCATCCCCGGTGCTTTGTTCCCTCTGGTCGGAACGCTAAATCCAACCCATAACAGGGAAATGTTCTAACAGCAAAGAAAGAGAGCAGCTCCTGCAATGTATGTGGACTGCAGTGCAGTTTAATGCAGCTGAGGTTGAGGCGTTGTTGTTTTCTCCCTGCTATTGACTCAGTAAAGCATACATTCCATCAATGAGGCAAGGAGAAAAAAAGGAAATGTGGAAATCATTACAGTAACGGGGACAGGGGAGGGGTTTCATTTGGCTCACTGTTGGGTCTCTTCTTGCCTATTTAGTCAATTAGCTGTTGCTGGCTAGTGAACACAAAGCTCTTACAGATGATGTGGGAGTTAGCAACGGCATTGGATGTGTGGCTGATCTTATCAGGCCTCAAAAGAAACAAACACTGTGCGTCCATTCAACAGCGAGATTGCAGGTTTGTTTGCGTTGCGTGTTTCTTACATGAGCTCATATTGTTAAATGAAGACGGCATTGCGCTGGTGCTATTTTTATCTGAAGCTAATCGACGAGCTGCATCGTGGTGTGGAAATGTCTAACTGCTAACAAGCTGAATTCAGGAAGATGAATGAGTTTATGCTAAAGCCATTCATGGAAAATAAGATTGGGTTTCATTTTCTGACACACATTCTGAATTTGTGCAGCTTTACACAGGTCTGACTGCGCTGCCTGAGAGGAGATGGAAGCAGTTCATCTTGGGTTATATAAGTGGACTTTAACTCTGGAGGTAAAGAGGAACAAGTAGAGACATTTGGCCCATCAGCAGGAGTCAAAGAGCTGTTTATTGCTGCTTATGTGACGTCTTTCTTTGACCTTCCCTCTCTGTGATAACACAGAGACAAAGCAGAGTCACACAGTCAGATAATGTGACAGTGAAAAAAAACAAAGATGAACATGCTCTCTATGTACTTTGGCTCGCTCTCCACTTTTCTGGCCAAACTTCCCTCTTCTGCAGAGTTCCACATTGCACTCACATGATTCAAGTGCGGAGAGTGTGGAGCAGTGAGCTGTGAGCCGCTGTTTGCTGGAGGGGGAGAGAGCCCAACCAACACTGGTGCTGACTGCTGCTTAGGAAGGTCACCTGATCTGAAGGCCCAGAGTAATGCTCACTAACGCTATTTTTATTTCTTCTCATAAAACATAAAGCCCACGCATAAAAACGTGATTTCACCCTGCCAGCTAAATTAAGAGGGAGCGTTAAATTGAGTTGATTATGTGGGCTTATTCCCCTCACTTTGTGCACAAATCGGGCCAAACCATTACGGCCTGTGACAGTGGGGGAGTCTTAACCAAGAAAGGCCTCTTTCATATTGGTCAGCGAGGCTTCATGGTGTCACAGACCTCATGATCATGTTATCAAGCAGGAAATGTCTTGCCACAAACTTCCTGGAATGCAAGTGAGACTGTAGCATCAAAATGCTGGGAAAATAGAAGAGGTCCTCATTTCTTATTCAGGCTTCATTTAGAACTTTAGATCCAGTTTTCTCTTTCTTCTCTTGCAGAAAGGGTGAGGATAAGTGAGGTACTGAAGACATTGAGAAGAAAAATCTGTTGGAAGAGTCTTGTAAGACAGATGCCTTTGCTTGGATTCTTGTGTCAACACTTGGTCCAAGTCCTGTTTTTCTGGCCTGGGAGCCCATAAGTTGCAGGATGAGTCTTCCCTGTGAGGACAGAGCAGCGTGTTTGGTACATGGACCACACTGACCTGCCGGCCCCTCACTCAGAGAGCCCACCCTTAAAGATCCGCCAGCTCTAGACTGAGCTGGGTACAAGCCTCGAGCTATAAATGCACAAATGCTCTTATTGGTGTTCTTATGGGGTATGTTTGAGCGTGTTTCTGGATTCCCGAGGCACACGCACTTCCCAGGCCTGTCCCATGTGTGTAGCAGGTTATCGGCCGACCGTCTGGCTGTAGAGTCCCCTGTGTAATCCATCAGAGCCATATTACAATGTCTCATCTATGCTACAGAACAATATAAAAGCAGCCTGGGGGGATAGAGCGCTCCTCCTCGCTGCTCAGTGAGGCAACCCAACACCACATGAAGGCTGCTCAGAAAAGACAAAGTGTCACGCTTTTAGAAAATTGGAACTGCATGTGGGCATTTAATTGAGTTTTCCACTTACAAGGTACGGCGTAGTCAGTTGTTACATTTCAGGTTGTTTAAAGCGCTCCCCTTCCCAAGACCTGAGCATGTTACCCTTGCTGCTACCATCAGTATGAATAATTGACCGTGCTGACATTGGATGCATTGTATCTCCAGGCACCCAGGGGACCTTTTATCACTACAGATGGGTGAGGGTTGACAGCCAGTGCCGGCAGGACATGTGTTGTGTGCAAGTGTCATGTAGTGAAGAGGAAAGGCAACAAACAACAGGCTTATAAAAGCACGGTAACTTCTGTGGTGACAGATCGATACATAGATGGTAGTTGAGTTATGAACTGGGTGATTTATTCCACTAAAAGCTTCTCTCTGTAGATATTGTAGCTCGGGGGTCTGGCATATGAAACGCTTCCGTCCCTTGAGCTGCATATGGCTTATTCCCCCAGGCTGCAGCTCTTCTGCTGGAGACCTAAACCAAGAGAGACGAGTGGAGGAGGGGGAGAATGGAAAGATGTAAATCATTTACAGTGTGTCTGTAATCAGCAACATAACCGAGTGACGGCTGTGTCGTACCTCACTGAGACCGATGTTTGAGTCCAGGAAGCAGATGATCTGTTTTCGTGTTTGTTAAAGATTAGACAAGGAAGTCTTGTCTTTGTTGGCGGGATTAAGGTCGCAACTAATAATTACTGTCGTTATCAGTGGATCTATAGATTATCTTCTTGCTTAATCTATTAGCCGTTCAGTCCATAAAAGGACAGATAATAGTGAAGAATGCCCATCACATTTTCCCAGAAAGTGACAAATGACTCAGTTTGACAGAAGAAAAAAGCAGCAAGCGTCACATTTGAGATTTCTTCTTGAAACTCCAACAACTAATACAATATCAAAACAAAAACAGCTGGCTATTCATTTTCTGTGGGTTGACTAATGAATAAATTGACTGGTTGTTCCTGTTCCAGCTTCCAGTGATATTAGTGCCGTCTTTCACCGAAATCAACATTTCCCTTCTAATTGGTTCAATTTATGCCCTGCTGATGAAGATAATGTGACATTTCTAACATATTAGGCATACATAATCCCTCTTATCTTCTCTGGGCAAGGCAAGTTTATTCATGTAGCACTGGAAGCAGGCCATTCAAAGTGCTTCACATGAGACATAAACTGTCATTACCTTCATATTGGACCAGTTTCTGTTTACCTTTTAGTGTTAATTACAGTAAGAGGGAATAACAGCAAACAGGATCATTGGACTCTGGAACATACAGCAGACAGCCTCAGACAGCCTCATCTCAATTTCCTGTGTTGAATCACAGTGAGTGTGCTCTAATTTGGTTCCATGTGATGATGTATGAAGGACTGTAAAGTCTTACTCAGTTTACTGTAATTATTTGTTTGGGGATGAGTTGTAAGGCCCAGTAATGCATTTTAATTGCTAATGTCATTTCCCCCAGTGGAGAGATGAGTGACATTAGGAACTGGGCCAGTTTGTCAGACATTACTTAAAGGGGCACTGCACCTATTTGAGCCTGTGGTGACTGGCAGGTGTAATCCCTGTGGCTCTGGAGGGGCGTTTCCTAAAGATGACCTTGATGATGTCACAGTGGTGTCATCAGGGTAGAGGTGTGTACTTTCACAGGTGTGGGTGTTTACCAGAGTTATTATAGTTTTGTATTTGGCATTTTTTTAAGTTTTCAATCAATGTACTTTCAGTTAGTTTTATTGTTCAAAAATGTTTAACTTTACTTTTGTTTTTATTAGTTTCAGTGTTAGTATTCTTTATTATTATAATAAGGGGGTATTTGTTAGGGGCAAATGTTTACAATAGGTATCACAACACATTGAGTCACGTAAACATCTCAGTCTGTTTTTATTTGATTTAAGTTATTTCAGCTTTTTCTCTTTTTCTAAAGTCTACTGTTTATTTGTACTTCAGTTCACTAAAATGTTTGTTCACCTGCCTCGTTTTAGTTTCTATTTCTGTTGTAGTTAACTATAAAAACCATGTCTGCCTCTTCCCAGTATATGTTTTACACTAAATCACTGGAGTGCCCTTCTATAATTCAATTCAGTCTTAATTTGATGGAATATTTTGCTCATAAAGTAAATATGAATAACTGAGCTGTAACGCGACGTGGAGCCAGTGTCCTTCAAATGGCTGCGAGGACACATTCCAGAGATTTCTACAGGTGGAAGATTCTCCACATAGAACCCATTTTTGAAACTACTTCACATCATAAAACACTCTGTTTCCTGTATTTCAGGGCTGCCTAGAACAAGAATGGATGAGACCTGTCACTAGCACTTGATGAAGATTTGGATTGACTCTTCAAACTGAACTATGGAGGGCAGTGATGATGTGTCTGTGACCCTGACACAGTCCCAGACTGAAGTGTGCAGCGCTGAGGTGGGAGGAGGACAAATCCCCGGGAAAGCGGAGGACGGAGCAAGTCCGCTGGTTCCTGCCGACTCATGTGGCGCAACGGGAATGAGCAAAGGAGGGCTGTCTGAGCTGGCGGAGCCTCCTGCGCCGTCAGTGGTGAGTCCCTCCGCCGAACCTCCGGGAGGTGTGGCGCTCAAAGTGGCCACAACTGTACTACACCCGGTGTGCCTGGGAGAGAGCCCGCTGATGCTGCCCATTCACCTCCAGATGGCCGGAGCGGCCGGGCCTCAGCTCGGTCAGATGGGGGCAGCGCCGTACTTGATAACAAGCCAAAGCCCAGTTTCACTTCCCCTGGTCTTGGATCAGCAGGTCATCCAGCACATGAGTCCCTCTGTGATTCCTCAGACCACAAGCTGTCCTCAGCTGCCGCTCCAGAACAACGTCCTGTGTCAGAATCCTTTGACGTTTGGTCTACCTCCGGCCGTCGAGCAGAAGTCAGCGGGACAAACGCAGGACGCCAACCTGCTCTCCCTCCTGCAGAATCCGGCTTTTGCGGCCATCCTGCAGGATCTCTTCCCTTCCCAGGCAGGCTCATCCAGCTGTCAGTCACCAGGCTCTACCTTCTTCCCCCTCCCTCCCCTCACGCCTCCCTACACCTCCCCTCTGGCCCCGTTAGTGCCGCCTGCCACTCTTCTAGTTCCCTACCCTGTCATCATCCCCCTGCCAGTGCCTCTGCCCGTCCCTCTTCCCATCCCCATTCCTGTCCCTCAGGCCGAGGACTCAAAGGGCAACATGCCAAAACCAGTTTGCACTGTCAGTAAAAGCACTCAGACTTCTCCAAAAGATACTACCTCTCCTTCGTTGTCTTCGAGCAGATGCATGCCATCGTTCCAGCCACAAAATGTGTCCCCGTCCTCAGTTCCTCTAGATGAAGGACAAGCTTTGGACCTTTCTGTCAGAGCGTGTCCAGTTGAACTAAAACAGGAGTACCCCAGTCCACAGCAGGACAGTGTGCTCGACCTGTCAGTGCCTGGTGTGAGGAAAAAGTGCATTCAGTCGGAGAGAGAAGTAGCCTTCCATTCTGGTCCAGATACCAGTGCTACCTCTTTGTCTCTGGGGGTTGAATGCACTCAGAGTTTAGATTCCAAACTCCTGGGCAGTCTGGCTTCTCTGGAGTTCAGCCGGCAGCACAAGTGGGTGGTTGACAGCAGTGCTGGCGGGTCCAGTTCTCGGAACCAGGAGGCGTCTATCAGCGGAGCCGGAAACCTTGAGATAGTCAGCACCTCGCAGACGGCCAAGGTCATCGTTTCGGTGAAGGACGCCATCCCTGCCATCCTCTGCGGGAAGATCAAAGGCCTATCAGGAGTCTCCACCAAGAACTTTTCCATCAAACGAGACGGCAGCCAGGCGGCGTCTCTGCAGCAGCTCTACGCAGTGCCGTCGGCGTCCCAGGGGGAGCAACACGACCCCAACAACCCGCTTAAGAAGGTCCCCAAGAACAGGGCTATCAAACTGAAGAAAGTCAGCTCACAAGAGATCCATTTCCTTCCCATGAAGAAGCAGAGACTCGCAGCGCTGCTGCCCAGGAAGTGAACGTGCTCGGAGGAGGGGGATTAATAGCGGGTCCGCTCTCTGGTAATCCCTCCAGAGCGTGTAACATAAAACACATGTGGGGACATTCAGTAATCAAACTTACAAACTTACATCTCCAATCAAAGCTCAGAGTTTGGCTCCAAATGTTGCAGAAAGTGAGGCTCATGAATGTCTGACAGTGTGACAGTAGTTACAGAAAGGCTTTCCATTGGGCTCTTCTGAACTGCTGTGCTTTTTCATAATGCACTACTCTACGGTGTAATGCTGAACCAGAAATGTTTGTGTGTATGGCAGCTTAACGGGCTCTCCATGTGGCTTTGGAGATTGCCGTAATTATAAAGTCAGAAAATGTTCTTCAACATCTCCGATTCATAAAGACAAAGACACATGGGTTCCATTTCTCCATTTTGGATCATGGTTTGTTTCCACATGTAATTTTTTATTGAAGTGCACTGAAGACCTAAAACCCCTGATAGTTGAGGCTCTCACTGCTCCGAGCAGAGCAGTGTGTACTGGCAGGACGTGACTGAGACTGTTCAAACATGTCCCATCGTCGGAAATTCCCATAGTCATCAGTAGCTCAGTGGGGCGATTCATTCTCCTCTGATTGGTAGGGTTTAGCATGACAGGCCAATAATGACTTGGCAGGGCCAGAGCCACAATTTCATTATCTTGGCAACAGCCGTGGGTCGCGACAAAATACATTTTTATTTTGTGTAACAGCAGGGAAAAAAGGGATGTCTTAATGGTTTTGTGCTTTTTAAACAGAACTTTCTACGTGCCTGTCCAAATATAAGGAAAGTATTTCTGGAAAAGAGCTATTTTTATTGCTGGCTGAATTATCCCTTTTGAATTCATCAGCGCTTCAAAATAAGAGCCAAAGCTGAGAAAACACTTCACAGCAAGTGTATGAAACACGTGAACCTGCTGCTGTTTCCATTGACAGACACAGTGAATCTAGTTGGAGGTTTTAATATTAATTCACCTGATGAGTCAGCTGAGAATGTGAAGCGGACGCAAGGTGAATTTAACTGACTAAAGAAGAAATAATGATTTTCTTGGCTTCAGTGAGAGAAAATACCATTCGTATATTTAGTTATTAGTGTGTTATTAGTGTTATTAGAACCAGTATTGGTACCCCCCCTCCTTTTTATCAAACTTGTCGGTGTAAAGCATTTGTTCCCAGTGGTTTGGTATCATCCTTATTTTTTGTGGAAGATTTCTGTCCCATGATTATGATCAGAGTTGTGAATGTGAGAGTGTAGTCGTGTGTCAGGTTATTTATCCTATTGAGTGCACTTTGTCATAGTTTAGTTGGAAACATTACAGGGTGTTACTGCCTATTCTACTAAAACTGTGTTTCCCCTTTGTGATTACAGCATTTATGAAATCTGTGATTTATAGGCCAAGAACTAATAACAGCCACAGACTGTCGGGGTGGAAAATACCTAGTTCAGACTTTTTACCAGTTCTTTATTTATATCGACGTACTCGAGCAACTCATGTCTGCAGTCCATTCAACACAGAGCTCTTTGATTTAGTAGTTTGAACTGATCACTTTGGTTGTACAGGATTTAACCCTAATTTATTGTTTGTACAACTTTTATTTATACAGTGTGTATATAAACTGGATGGTCAGTGAGGAGACAAAGTGTGACTGGGTATAAAAAGACAGCTTCCTTTCTAACTGTCAGTCTCCTGAAGCACTTTTGACTTCCGAAAAATCTCCTGTTATTTTAATTAAGATGTCGGTGAAGAAACAGCAGTTGAAATGCGCTGACAGTTAAATGTTTGCTTACTGTACAGTATGTGTGCTTTTTATATGGAAGTGAACTAAAATCTCCAAAGTCTGAATCTGTGTCTGTGCCTTTTTTCTTGACAGTTTAATCTCAAACGAGTCTGTTTTTAGTCTTCCTTTTATGCACTTCACTGAAATCAGAAAAAACTGTTCTCATGTCAGGATTTAAATGTCAAAGGAGTCTGAAAGAGCAGATAAATAAAACACAGAAATGACAGACGTCAGTAAAACCGTTCAGGCGTTTAGGCATTCTTACCCTCTGTACATCCTGTAAAGTTTGGTTTGTATTCAAGTAGTTTGTCTTCACTTCACCCTTCATTCCTATCAAACTGCCCAACATCAAGAGTCTCCGTACAGTTCCTGAACTAAAGCCAGCTCAGTGACTGTACAGTAAACTCAGTCCCTCAAGTGTGTAAGCAAACGCTCTGCAGTAAAGGAGACTGACATGTCTGGATGCCACGTTCAAAACAAGGGATGTTTACAATAACTTCAGCACACACACTGTGAGCTGTGAGTGGTGTCAGGTTTGGGAATAAAGTAGAAGTACTAGCATCACACTTTTTACTACAGTGGAGAATTTAACAGCACTTCACATTTTAACACTCGTCTGTGTATTTTAAATTCAGATTGTAATAATGTTTGAAGTTTCACAAACATTCACCATTAGTTTACCAGAAGCCCTTCTTGGTACAAAGACAGTTGTTGGATTTTAGAGGTACTTTCTGGTTTGTAACCAACCAGAATCATTTTCTAAGTCTCTGACGTGTTTTTAAATATTTAGTTTTCTTATATTTCATAAATAAACACGAGGCTTTTTTTGTACGCCTGACAGGTAGTATTTCAAAACAAACGCCACAGAGACTGATGTGAGTTTAATGATGGAAATGATTGTTGGTCTTTGTCCTCTACATTGTAGTTCTTATTGTGCAAATATCTCACTTTAACAATGGCTCCATCCCATTTAGGTGAGCCACTTCCAGAGCTATGGTATTGTGCCTGCTCACTCACTGACATGGCTTACTCAGACACTTAATGGAACGGAGCCATTAGTCATACCTGTGCTTTTCCTGCTTTCACAGTCAAAATGTCTCTCTGGAAAAGAGTCAGTTGTCCTAGAACTAAAACTCTAAAATCAGCCAATCAATAAGGTTTTATAGTTAATACTGGTGATTAAAGAAAAGAAGTCGGCAACTTTCTTCCCCTCTGTGAAAACACATCCTCTGTCTACATCATTTGATGTAATCAGTAACAACACATGCACATCCTTTTTTTTTTTGGTAGGTTTATAAAAAAAAAAGGAAATACACAACATCATAAACACATATTGTTTATCTGGTGTGATGTAATGGACTTTTTGCAACACATTTTTCAAGTACTTAAAAGAAGATGCAAGAGAGGGAAATCAACAGCACTTCGATCCTGTGTTGAATATCATATGGCACAAGTCTTTAAATCAAGGAAGGGAATAACAGAGAAATTCTGTTAAGTATATTATAAACAGTATGCTACAAAAGCTTGTACTAACAAAGACCACATAAACCTGAGAAATGTCGTAGGTAAAGCAAGGCAGTCTATTACTGGGAGTATTTGAACTAAAAGCGCTGTGTTAAGTATTAAAAAGCAGAATGGAATCCACTGTGAAATATTCACCACGTCCCCATCCCCTTTATCTTCACATTTCTAACTTATGTATATGATTTCCTTAAAATATTAAGTTTCTACAAAATGTACATTCTGTCGCTGATATTCATGGTTAAACCCATAAAACTGTACACATCTGTTTTCATTGCTAACAGTGATTGGAACGGTCAAAAGTGACAACACTGAGGCCGCAGGCAGACCGACGAGCTTACATGATTATGACTGATAAAAATATTACATCGAAACTAAAACATACAGAGCCCTTGTAATGTCAGATCTGAACTTCCTAAAGAATCTGTCCATTGAAACTGATAAACCCAGAACCTCTAAGATGGCTCAGAGTTTGGGGTTCAAGCGGTTTGATGTTGATAAAAACTGCGTGGAGACCAGTGAGAGGCAACGTAGGGCCCGCTAAGACACAATAATACATCATGCCACACAGCAGACGATGATCCTGCAGGACACTCGTGGAAAAGGTGAGGCTCAGTCAGAAATGTCAGAGCACAACGTGATTACCTACCGGGATGCCGAAATGAAAACGTGTGTCTAGCGTTGTGTGAACGAAATGGAACGCAGTGACATTAGCATTCTTCGGGCAGGCGGATATACCCATACTTGAGGCATACATGTGAAGAGTGAAAACAGCTATACAACAGCACATACAAGAGAGCATCCAAATTCTTTTAAAGAGCATGGGGAAGAACATCTGATGGGATTTTTTTTTTCAGTATATCAACCCTTCCTTATTAACTGGAAATTCAACAATAATAAAAACAGTATATAAGAAGAAACATTCTCCATCTTTGGGGGATCCAAAACCAGGATCAAAAGATTTCATCTCCGTAAAAAAACGTGTCCACGTGTGCACATGTGCTATGTAAACACTACAGGGATTCTTTTCCTTTGGGATTTCAGAGAGTCAAATGGCGTCTGTTAGACTTGAACAGCTTTTTGTTCACAGATGAGGGGATGAGGTAATGTGTCAGCAATGCACGGCACACTTTCTCCACTCTGGAAGTCAGATGAAGTTGTAACATCTAGTCAGTCCCTCGAGGTGGAGTCTAGAGTAACATGTAGCCCCTGCGTGCCCCATGAGTCAGTGTCCACGCACTGGCTCTTTCAGGGCTTATTGCTCATGGGTCTGGCAGGGACAGGGCTGCCCTGGCTCCTGTTACAGTTTGCCTTGTTTCAGCCTCTCTATGTGATGGCATAGCTTCAGTGCAGGCCCCAGTTTCAGACCCATGTACTTCATGATCATGTCGCTCCGTAGCAACATCAGAGCTTTTCCATCAATCTCCTGTGGAAACAAGAATGGGGCTCATTATGTTAAAATACCATGTAGAGACACAAATGATCTACAGTAGCTGAAGCCAATAATAATAATAGACAAAAAAAACAACTTGTGGTTCTTTTTAGCTCAACTCAAAGAGCAATTGAGCACTTCAAGGGAGACCTCAGCAGAAAAACGTAAGTCCTCATCGTACTGTTCCACATTTGTAAAGCTGACTTACATGTTTTCTGAATAGTTCAGCATGTGGAGCTAATGCTGTGGGGTCCGCGTCCCTCACAAACTGCATCACCTCTTCAATGGACCAGGAGGAGGGGTTTTTACTGGGCAGCTGTAGACTGTCCCGCTCAGACACTAGAGCCTCAGGACCTGTGGTGGAGCTGGCTGCTACCAAAGCAGAACACACTCATTAAGCATGTGAGGCAGAAGTGAGCATTTAGAAACATCTGCTTCCACAGATTCTTACTGTACCTTCAACTCGTCTGAGAGGCTGCGTGGAGCTGAGCTCTGCGGGGTTTGAGGAGAGGCGGCGCATGGGTGTGCCGTTGCCAGGGTGGTAGAGGCTGCTGGCCTGAGAGTGGTACTCTGAGGAACTGCGCACTGTTTGGGGTCGAGGGGTCATTGAGTTGGAGGCTGAGTCCATGTAGCGCTGCTCCTTTATTAGGCCGTTCTCTTCATGGGGCAGGGTCTCTGCTGGAGAGAGAAAAACACAACAGACATTCAAATATCATTCTTTAAAAAAGCTTCTATAATACACTTCATCTGCTTTGAAAGTGGCCATTGTTGCTGATCTGCATGGCTGTCTATAAATCAAAGCTCTGGCCCTTCTATGATGATGGTACATACAGTGTAACACAGCGGCTCCCAACCTCTTCCCCTATGGACCCTTTTTCTGTCATTGAGTACACTGACAGCCGCTCAGTTTATATTTAATGCATAACAATAACAGTACAGAACAACTGATGAACTGTACCATGAACCCAGATAGTGAACACAATAACTGCAGCAGTAATAGCTAGATAACTACTTCAGTTAGTAGTACACTTCAAAGAAACCTTAACCAATGGTAAACATGTTGACTTAGGATGCTCCTGTATCTGATCTCTACTCTACTTTATGCATGTGTTTGGCCGTTGTCACCGGAGACCAGAACCCTCAAAATCCAGGATAACATATGGAGCAAATAAACACAACCTGTGTATCTCTACATTCCTACTTATTACTACACAGAAGTTAGCGGGACTGACCTAGCAACATGCACTCCTCATTATAGTATCATCTCCTGTTAGTGCCAATGCTGACACTAGCACTGAGCAATCAGCTTGTATACACACTGCAGTGAATGGAGAGAAAACTATTTGGCATATTATACAACACAAAAGGGCTTGAGGTAGAATACTTTGATATAAACAGGAACGGAGATCCAGAGGTATCAAGTGTGATGGACAAATGCTCAACTACCAAAAGAACGACTAGAGGTTAACAGGTAGGCTGCATCCAGAGGTGTCAGATCTGCTGCTGGTATCACGAGTGAGGCAAACATTTAACATCTAAAAGCAGTATAAATGTTGATGTTGTAAATGAGTGCTAAACAAGTCTCCAGCACAGAGAGATTAGTCTTAACAGTCCTTAGGTGCAGTTTTGCTAAATAAGCCAAATGTACTAAGGAGCTGTACCTTCTGAGGGGTGAGCTTCAGTACGTAGATGTTTAGGTGACAGAGGGGCTGCATATGGTGGAGAGACTCCAGGGGGACTCCGTTTACTGCCCCGAGCCAGAGACGGAGCGTCCAATGCCTCTTCTTTCACTGAAACACAGGAACAAAGACGAACTGACGTTTAGCTTATAGTCCACCATATGTGCATACACACTACAGGACAACACAAAGATCAACACATACGACACATTACTAAGAAGTCCAATGTTTAAAGTTCTTTACCTTCTACACAAGACATATAAAATATCACTGATAAAAATGTTAAACTGAGGAAACAACAAGGCACAACATCTGCGAAGGCATGTGATGGTCCTACTGGGCGTTATTAGTAATTATTGCCAGTTTATTATAAGAACTAGGACCAAGGGAGATGTTTCTGAA